TACTTCTCTTCACACGCTCAACACAGCACTCATCCTTGTAACGCCCACAATTGGACCACAACTCCTGCAACTGGTGGCTTCATCGCACCCCCGCAGTGGCTTCCGAGACGCTGAAGGGTGGATGCCCGAGAGGTCGCAGACACACACGCCGACAACCCGTGACGCACGCGTGTCCCAAGTAAATTTGTTAACTCAGTGATTCATAGTGGTGATTAAGAAGTTGGTAAACTGATCATGTCTGCTAATGTTCAGTTGGTACTCCCTGTAGCTAAATAGCACACAACTCACTTAATCTGGCAGAAAATATTTCACATTGTTCGATGGAAAGCCGTCCGTCACCTTTTGTTTGTGTATCTGCACTCGACCGAGCATGCCAGTTTCAGAGCCATATACTTAATATGTCGTTATGGTTAGTGAAAAAGATTAGTAGGCGCGTTTCGCACCGAGCCGGGTGAATTCTCATTCTACGCGCGACATCAGAGGCACATTTCACTTACTTAAAACTATCATGCGATATGAGACTGAAGACATGCAGTAATTGAAACGCGCCCTGATCTACAGACTGACTGCTTGGATCAGCGAAGGCAGCTAGGCCACCGCTGAACATGTCCACTCCTGCAAGCGCGCGGTCACATGGTGGTGCTCAATAACCGCATCGCATCTGCGAATACCGTTCCACCGCTAGCACTAGCACTCAATTCGGCCCGTAGTTTATCCGTGTAGCAAAATCCCTCGCAAGGTATTCTATTATGGATATCTTCAATGAAGTGAGGAGTATGCATCTCATCGAAGATAACGTAAGAATAGAAATAAAAGGCATGCCCAGGATCAAATTGGTGTGATTCTCGTTCAGAAAGGCGAATGTATTGGCGCGAAGTGGACCGGCAGTAAAGAAAAAAGGAAAAGAATCCGTCGAAAACGCTCAGGTTAAGGGCTCACTCACCTTCCTAATTGGCTGTGCTAAAGGAACGAGAGACTAAGCGCGAAGAGGAGAGTATGGGGCGAGAGAGCGCATCAGATGAGAGAGCACCAGACAACAGTCCGAATAAAGAATAATAAGAGCTCCAGCTGCTGCTTCGCATATTTGGCAAGACCATAGCACTTAAGCGTGATTCGTGTACAGGGATCGCACATTTGTGGCTGCCCTTTGAAGGTATCATACAGACCGAAGGTACCCGTCCCACACAACTTCTACCTGGGTTGTGCCTTTAAGTCATGAATGGGACGGAGATTGGATGCAGTTGCATCTTAGAACGTGAGCACTTGACGGCAAACTGCTCTGATTCTTACATTGAAAAGATGTTTCGGAAGCTTGTTGGAGTCCTCAAGCAGGGTTCCTTGAATGGCTTCGAGGTGCTATCCTTCCGACAAAATGTTCGCAGCACTCAAGCCCCTGGCTGAAGCATTTTCTGTAAATGAATTTCGCAACTCAATTTCAAATTATTAAGAGGAATCGTTCTTTCATGTTGCTTTTCTTATTGCAAAAGATTGCCCATTGAGCTGGAGATGGGCCACATGAAGTGTGGAGCAACTAGCATTTTGGCGTTTCTGCTGGGGCCGTATGGTGAATATTGGGGAGGGGATGGGGTCCCTGACGGTCGACGGACTACTTCAACTCGGTCCTTGAAATCGCCTCAATTTGATGCTCACCTCAGGACTAAGCTCTTAAAGAGAGGACAGACTCGAGAGAAACACGCAGATCCGCCCTCTCTCCAAGGCTTAGTCCTGAGGTAAGCAAACCAGCCCTTTTGGCGGAGCTGCTGGACCAGCTGCACCACTTGCGTCATTACTCTCCTACCGTACCGACCGAGTTGAAGTAAACCGTCGACCGTCGGGGACCCCATCCCCTCCCCAACATTCAGCATACGGCCCCAGCCGAAACGCCAAAAGGGCTGGTTTGCTTACCTCGGTGGTAGTAACTCACGATTTAAAATCTGCCGTGTTAGTTTGCGAATGCCTACTAAAAGAGAAAGGTTATAGAACGTAAGGAAGGTTTTATGACTTCGCTCCATAGAACCGTGAGATGTTCATCGGGGTTTCCCCCGGGAAAGCCCCCCTTCACACGAATGAAACTTGTTTTGGCGTCCATTTGTATGCTACTTTCCACGTTCTGAAACTCTTCTTCTAATTGTGGGATACAGAAAATAGTACAGTCATTATAACTAACGGAGTTATGAATAATGGATTTGAAAAAGCAGGAAATGATGCCGAGGTGACGGGCTGTCGTACATAACTTGACTTTCTAAATCCCTGCCCCAAATGATTCGGGCAAATTGGGCATACTTCCCTAGCCTCCAGGAGACAGAAACCAGCGTTGTCGAAGGCAAACATTTGACTTAGATCCTGTGAGAGGGAAAATCATATAGCCAGAAAAATTTATAGTGGTTTGGAATTCGTTGCCGCAAAAGGTTTCATAGTCGACTTTGTATGAATCTTGGCCATATTTTAGAATAGAAGACGTTTAGTACGATACTTCCTACCACGAGAATTGTCAAATAAAGCGGTTGACCCTGGTCGAAAGCTCAGACTAAACTATTCTATTCGCTGCACCAAGTTGTCAGGTAGAGGCGCTAAGGCTAAAGGGTGCTCACATAGCTCCATTTAGCACCTTTAGAGCCTCTGGCTTGGAATCGGCATCATAGATGGGTCTATTCGAGTTCTTCTCCATGGTCTCTCGCCTCTGATTCTCTTCCCTCTCCTGGACACTCAGTGTCTCTTATCTGGCTGTCTCTCTTCACTCTCTTCTCTTCTCTTATCCTTCTTCTGGTTTGAGGGAAGAAGGCCGTGATTTATAGTGTTTCCTTTGATTACTTTTCATTTTTTCATCAGTTTCACTTCGCCTTCTACCTTTAATTTCATTTTTTCGGCGAAATAATCATACCACTTTAATCGTTAAGCATACTCTTTAGTACCCTCTATTTCGGAAAACGAGAAGAGAGCGCCGAGTGCAGACCACACACCACAAATTACGACGGCCAAAAAAACAGAAGAAGCTTTTTTGATTGGCCGCCGTCACTTGTGGTGTGTGGTCTGTATTGGACGCTCTTCTCGTGTTCCGAAATAGAGGTAATGTTCAACAGCAACATTAGATCGATTTCTGTACAACAAACTTTATTATAGCATAAATAAACATATACGTAGAACTTTGTCATGAACGAATTTGTAAATAATTGAGCATCTTTAACATTTAAGTAGTGAAATATGACGCCATTGGCACCAGAGTTCTCGCGTGCATACGCGAATGTGGTACATTAAAGCTTCAGCGAAAACGGGGTGCCTCTCCATTGGCCAACGTGCTCTGCGAGCTGCTATCCCAAGAGCTCTAGCAGAACTAGGGGGAGAGGAGATTTCAGGAACAAAATCACAAAGTCACCAAAAACAACAGGCACATCGATCAAAAACGGTCAATTTAGGTCGAGATTCCGGCTGCAGAAACATCAGGGTCGAGATTCCGGCTGCAGAAACTTCAGAGTCAATCCGTTAATATTTTAGTGTTTTGAGATACTCTAAGGCGAAATATCAAAAAGGTATCAAATTAAACTCTGAAGGAATCACAGAAACGATTTCTCAGTATGGTTGCGTAGGTGCCACCGTAACCAAGTTGTTCGCTGTGGGACCCGCAGTGTCACATGTTATCGACTTGTTTTCGATGTACCCTCTGTCGTTGGTCCAGGCTTAGTCCCGGTCGAAGGACCTCTGGGCCCATGCTCCAGTTGGATTGCGCGCTCCAATCTTCAACAGCGCGCTCCAGTGCAATGTGGTTACGGTAACACCTAGTCACCATACTGACAAATCGTTCTTGTGAAGGGTTCTGCAATCGTCAAAGACCTACACATGGTACCATCATAGAAAAAGGAAAGCAATTCAGAAAATATCCTATGTTTCGAATAATCACTTGGCACGCAACAACAAGTAACAAGTGCTTCGACAAGTTGAGCACCTATAGCAATCGAGAATCGATAAAATCCCTAGAAATCATCCGATCGATTGCTTCAAATCACAGCTTATTATCGATTGGTTGTGGATCACAGATAAGGCCTATATCAACGGGATGCGTACAAAATTGCACATTCGAGAAATGGGCCCATAAAAAAGGGTGGGAAGGCAGGATGTTCGGAGAAAGACAACATGAAAATTTGTAAAATCGATAATTACAAGTATAACAACAGCTGATGTCGAATATTTTGCGACAAATGTAAGTGAATAAATGGTATAACTTAACTATGTGTAGTGCGGATGGAATTTTTGGCTTTCTCTGCTGCTGGAAGCGGACAACTTACGCTAGAAGGGGACCGCACAACATTCGGGTGCCCGACAGGAAGCCCGTCGCGAGCCGGGAAGGCAGAGACGCAAAGGAGTCAGCGGACGAGTACTGTATCTATTTAGCGTCAAGTTAGAATAGTACTTTGTTTCGTCTCACATAGCACAATAAGCGCTATGACTCGCCCGCTGACCCCTCTGCGTCTCTGCCTTCTCGCCGCGCGAAGGGCCTCCCGGTACCCCCACACAACAAACTGTCATTGCCAAAGGAGTGAAGAAAAGGTTGAGTCCTCGCTCTGAAGCCGCTCCTGCATGGGCGAACGGGCAGACTGGACGAGCGGTGATAGCGGTCTACTAGCTAGCCCTGGGGACGGCATTTAGGTGGTACGATTACCAATCTTTTGTGAGCGCGAGCAAACCAGATGTAAAATCAATTCTTCGGTTCTTCCCTCTAGTATTTCTAACTCTATAGCTTTTATTCTAAACTATGTGTTTCTTCAGGGTAGCAACAGCAGAGTACAGAGACAAAGAAATGACTGTGTGAGCAGAGGATGACCGGAGACAGGGATTGAGGAGCTGAGACACTCTTCAAGTGTGAAGAACTTGATAAAAAATTGTTCATGAATCCTACGACCACTCAACGGGGGTCAATGGTCCACCCGGTGTCCGATCCCGCAGGGCAGCGATGCAGAGAAAATGAATAGTTGTCCGAAAGTGAGCATTCTCGAGTAGTGTTATATTCACAGCATATTCACTCCAGAGAGCCACGAAAGTGCAAAATCAGCCACGTATAAAGCCGTGTTGATGAAGCACAGGATCTGAAATGATGAGAACTTGAATAAAATTGTTCCACGACATCAACTTTTTTTACTTGAGCTGCAGCAGTGCTATCTGGATGGAGCCATTTAATGGACATTGGAAGGCATATATCCGCGAGGGGGCAATCGGTTTTCCCACTGAAATTTGAGAAATCGTCACACGTGAAATACCCTTGCCTACATCCTTACCACAAATTGATATCTCGACCCCTTGTTGTTTTTCTGATAATAAATCCGAAAAAGGGGTAGTTGTAACAAATTTGAATTGCTGTCCGAAAACTGTCACAGCTGCTGGCGGTGGGGAGCTAACACGTGCAAACGTATTGAAGAGGATTCGCATCCGGATACCCCACTCCACTGGTCTCCCACCGACCCCGCCCACTCTACCATCGGCCGTCCATGGAACGCATTTGTCTAGAAGCTGCTTTAAATAAGGATTTGCATTATTTAGTAACTTGCTTGCTATGACTACACGTAGAACAATAACGCGTATAGTAAACGAACAGATTTTCCTGCGCACATGCCTTTAATCTTCATGGAAGCTAAAGTACTTTTCTGCAATACCAGCTAGTGATTTCAGCGCATTATGATCAAGCAGTGCCTTTGATAAAGTAGGATAAAGAGTGTACATTCTTGAAGAAGGGGAATTTGAATCAAATATCGTCCAAAGACGAACGTAATAACTTCGTATGATCCACTCGCGCGATGACAGACTAGATTTATTCGAGGTCCATTAGGTGGATAGCAGGCGGCATAGTACGCTTCAAGACATGAAGCGAGTAAGTAGGCCAAGATCGCTATCAATGTGACATGAGCATCCTGAAAATCAATAGATAAACTGCTATTGAAACAGGTGAAGGCTACTGATGAGCTCAGAAAAGGGTAACTTACCACTTTCCGCCACATATGAACGGAATTTGCGAGAAAGCTCGTCATCAGCAGTACCGCTGTAAAAATCGCCCACGTCGAAACGATACCAACTACGGCGCCTGAAAGAGGGTGGCCCAGGTGAATGTTTGGAACCGAGGGAGAGGCATTCACATGTTTCACCTGATTTCAGCGATCAATCTGATATCCCAAAGAAAGTGGACAAGATTCTAAAGGCTGCAGCCAATAGTTCGAGATATACAGTACCTTGCCATTCCGTGTTTGTTCGAATGACGAAGTCGTGGAAACTGGACCCTCGCATTGTGCCCAACGCACTAGTCTAATAATGCAGCAGCAAAAGAATCTGCAATTCAACTTGATTGCTTTTTTTTCTGAAAGACACGGTTTCGATGGCCTTTTCGATAGAACGCTTACCAACTGAGCGGCTTTCACTGCTATTCTCGCGAACAGCGGATATTTCTTGGTGTCCAGTTTCTTGTCTGTTCGGAACATCGTCGACGGCGGGTAGGTTGTGTACGACGGTGCATAGAAAGGTCGTAACCGTCGCAACGTCGTCGTTGGGACCTTAACAGCCTGCAGTGAGTAAAGCATTAATTCGAGGTGAGGTCATAGTGAGCGGAACGCTACATGGCATCGCCCTTACCTCAGCCGTGTATGGCCGATGAAATTGGGAACTGTAGTCGTACGGCGCACCTCCGAAATCGGTTTCCTCAAATAGATTACGTTAAGGGCAAGGCAACTAAATAACATTTGCCCCGGCAGTAATGATTGGAATTATCACAGGCATTGTCATCGGGAGGGAGCATTCCTGACCCTGCTCATAAAACGGTAAAGTGATGTCCTCATGCCACGAAAGAAGCAAAAAAATCGAAAAAAAAACTGACGTTGAAGGGAAGAATCTCTTCGTAGGATCCTCCCAAGATTTAACCGCTACATTTGGGAAAAGTCAACAAGTAAGCAGCAAGACTGCGCGCAAGATTAGGATTAGCTTCGGAGCCATTTTCAATCAAGAAGTTTGAAAGTGCGAGCATATTGTGCAGAGCTTTTCCATCAAGCTTTTCTGCCCGTGAAGTCCGACTTTTTCAGGGGAGGGGGGGGTGGAACTTGGACAGAGACGTAATCGCGACCTCATGCAACGTAGCTATACACTGCCTCAGAAAACCAGAAGTGCGTCGAGTGCAGACCACACACCACAAGTGACGACGGCCTTCACAAATGTATGTTTTCTGCCAATGAAATGAGCCTGTTGCAGTTGTATATTATCAGTTGTCACTAATTACAACTATCATTTACCAACTATCAGCTATCACTATGAATCACTACTACCAGATTTACTTGGAGGCCGTCGTCACTTGTGGTGTGTGGTCTGCACTCGACGTGCATTAGGTTTTCGGAAGAAGGGGGTACCTAGGTTCAAAATTAAAAAATGGTAAGAAACAGCCGAGAACATTGTCAGGCTTGCTGGCTTCGTAACACCCAAGACGACTCGCCTTACTCTTTCCCTGGGGATACCGACAAACAGGGGTTAATCTCGCCAAGTACGACAAATCGCGCTAGCAGGGGACCGCACGAAATTCGGGTGCCCGACAGGAACTCCGTCGTGGGGCAGGAAGGCAGAGACGCAGAGGGATGAGCGGACGAGTTGCAGCGCGTACTGTAGCAATTTAGCGTCAACTTAAATACGAGTTTGTTACGTATCGCAGTAAAAACTGGAAACACAAGAACATCGTTAACGATGTCCTAAACTAACTTCCCACACGATCCACATAAAAGGGTAATGTGGGTAAGAAAAAAGTGACATAAAGACCAAAACTCAGTACCTGGTATTGTGCTAATCGATACGTATAGGGATCACGAGTTTTTCTGTACGCAGGTGATGGTTTCTTCATAGGACCGGAAACTGCCTGAAAATCGGCCGATGTTAGACATCCACTTCCAATTTACCCCTCTCGGAAGGGCGCTCTAGCTAACTTACTCCACAAACCACAAAAAGACCCAAATCTCGCCTGGTAACCCACCTTGAACTGTCGCTTGTCGTACTGATCAACCGAAACCCCTCGAGGTTTCCGCGATGACGGAACGTTTGGCTCGTGTGGAGAACGGCATTGCACGACTAGGCGCTGTTCTAGAAAGGATATAATTACCGATTGATCGATCTTTCCCCAATTTCAATCGGCATGAGGTCTGGAGAAAATAACAAGTTTCAAGCTATTTTTCAACCCACCGTGATCTTCTTGGAGGTGACGGTTGCGGTTGAGGGTATGGCCTGTAGGCCCCTGACGCTCCCGGGTACGGACCGTAGGCACCGGGATAGGCCTGACTTGCCTGGTAGGCATAACTGCGATAGGCCTGACCATCAGCATAATATGGTGTGTAGGTGTAACCACCGTAGTATGGGAACTGTTGC